CCTCGGGAACCGAGTGGGATTGTCTGCATCCTCTCACCCCAGGCAAATCCGGCTCCAAGATTCAGACCACCCCCAGCAAAACTGGCGGGGACCGCTATATCCCCCATCGCAGTGCGACCCAGATGGAGGTGGCCAGCTTCCTCCTGAGTAAGGAGAACAACATTCGGAAAACAGCCAGACGCCCACCAAGAAGGTATGCGCCCCGGAGGGACTTGGGGCCAGGGGCCCGCCTGTGCACTTCGCCCCAGGCCATCCCGCCTCACCCACCACCACCCTCCTGTGCCAGGAACATCAGAAAGCCTGGGCTTTGAACCTGAACGGTTTTGACGTGGAGGAAGCCAAGATCCTTCGGCTCAGCGGGAAACCACAAAAAGTTCCAGAGGGTAAGACCTCTGAGGTTCACGGTGTTTGGAGGGAGGTGTCTGCCCTTCCCACCTAAGACCGAGGCGGGGCGGGGAGGCTTATCGGCCTTCCAGGGGAGGTTTCGGGTCTCCAGGGTCGAGTCTCCCTCCACTGGGACAGGTTATGAGAACAGACTGAAAGTCCTCTACAGCCAGAAGGCCACACCCGGCTCCAGCAAGAGGACCTGCCGCTACATCCCTTCCCTGCCCGACCGGATCCTGGACGCCCCTGAAATCCGCAACGACTATTGTAAGTGCGGCCTGCGCCTTGCTGGGTGAGTGGGAAAAGAGGGCCTGGGCACCAGGCAGACACGGCAGCGTGTGTCCTTGCCGTTGCCCCTCTGGCAGACCTGAACCTGGTGGATTGGAGCTCGGGGAATGTGCTGGCCGTGGCGTTGGACAACAGTGTGTACTTGTGGAGCGCCAGCACTGGCGACATCCTGCAGCTGCTGCAGATGGAGCAGCCTGGAGACTATGTTTCTTCTGTGTCCTGGATCAAGGAGGGCAACTACCTGGCTGTGGGCACCAGCAGTGCGGAGGTTCAGGTGAGGCGTGCCCCTGGGCTGCAGCTCTGTTGTCCCCAGACCCCGGGAGCTTGCCCAGAAGGAGGATGCTGTGCCAGGGCCCAGTCTCTGATGGTTGTGGTCCTCTCTCTCTAGCTATGGGATGTGCAGCAGCAGAAGCGGCTTCGGAACATGACCAGTCATTCTGCCCGAGTGGGCGCCCTGTGTTGGAATAGCTACATACTGTCCAGGTGAGTGGTTTTTGCTAGTCTGTTGCAAGATCAGGCTATGATTTTTTTGCCCTCCCCCAACTGTACACCCCTGAAGGGAAGCAGCTCTGCCCTACGGTGGCATTTGGCGCTGCCACAGGACCTGATTCCCATCTTCCTTCTTGCAGTGGCTCACGCTCTGGTCACATCCATCACCATGATGTTCGGGTAGCCGAACACCATGTGGCCACACTGAGTGGTCACAGCCAGGAAGTGTGTGGGCTGCGCTGGTCCCCAGATGGACGACATTTGGCCAGTGGTGGCAATGATAACTTGGTCAATGTGTGGCCTAGTGCTGCTTTAGAGGCGGGCTGGGTTCCCCTGCAGACATTCACCCAGCACCAAGGGGCTGTCAAGGTAAGAGGGGCTCAGCTGGGGCCTCTGCAGACCTTCACCCAGAACCTGGGGAATATTACAGGGAGATGGGATGCTGGGATTGGACTAGGTTAGTCTAGGACCCTCTATAACTCCCTGCTGACTCCACTTTTGTCCCATCTAGGCTGTAGCTTGGTGTCCCTGGCAGTCCAATATACTGGCAACTGGAGGGGGCACCAGTGATCGGCACATTCGCATCTGGAACGTCTGCTCTGGGGCCTGTCTGAACGCTGTGGATGCCCACTCCCAGGTAGTCTTTTACCTATTCTAGTCTCTCACTTCTAGATACATTCTTACTCTTTACTTCTTCCTGGGCAACTATGTCCTCTTCAATGGCTTCACTAAGTCTGTACCCTGATGATTTCCAAACTTCTAAATCAGCTCTCACTCAGGTGCTCCAGATCCATATTTCCAACACCCTGTGGCCCATCTCCTGTCCCAAGTCCTATAGGTGGCACCAGCCTAATAGGTTCCTAATTAAACTTGTTACTTCCCTTTGCCTCCCCAAAATGTGTCCCTACGCCTCCTCCTCTTATATTCTTTTTTTAAAAAAATATATTTTATTGATTTTTTACAGAGAGGAAGGGAGAGGGATAGAGAGTTAGAAACATCGATGAGAGAGAAACATCGATCAGCTGCCTCTTGCACACCCCCTACTGGGGATGTGCCCACAACCAAGGTACATGCCCTTGACCGGAATCGAACCTGGGACCTTTCAGTCCGCAGGCCGACGCTCTATCCACTGAGCCAAACTGGTTAGGGCCTCTTATATTCTTTGAGAGGACAGAACCTACTTAGAAATCTGAAAAAACCTAGAATCTTTCATCCTCCTCACCTAGTCACCAAGATAGCAGTTTTACCTCAAAATGTCATTCACAAGTGTTTCCTCCCCTCAGTGCACTGGTCTCAATATTCTTAGCTCCTCTAGTCTGTCCTCTACTGTGGTCTGGGTGGTATGTTACTGTCCTTAAATCCTGCAATGGTTCCCCATCACCTACAGCATATAACCCAAATCCATTAGAATTTGATGACTTTGCTGGTGAGTCTCCCTGCAATGACTCCAGCTTCTCCTTCCATTCAACACCCATTCTGCCCACCTTCATTCTAGATTTGGGCTTTTGAGCCAGAGTTCAAATTCTGGCTCTGTCACCTACTAACTTAACTTGCTTGTGATCTTAGGCAACTTGCTGAACTTCCTTCTGCTCGATTCCTCATCTGTAAATGGATAACAGTTATAATTCTCAAAAGGCTTTTGTTAGGATCATCGCCACTCAAGTCTGAGTGACCTGGCAATGTTCCTAACTCTAGAATGGACTTACTTCTGATTTGAGTAGTCGGCTCTGTGCTGTATCTACACCATCCCCTCTCCACAGGTGTGCTCCATCCTCTGGTCTTCCCACTACAAGGAACTTATCTCAGGTCATGGCTTTGCCCAGAACCAACTGGTTATTTGGAAGTACCCAACCATGGTCAAGCTCAAAGGTATGTGCTAAATGACAGAAGCCAGACACAAAAGACTACATATTGTATGATTATTTATATGGACTATCCAGAATATCCAGAAGAGGCAAATGCAGAAAGATAAAACAGACTAGGGGCTGGAGGGAAAGGGTAATGTGTGCCTTTCTTCATGGAGTGATGAAAATGGTCTGGAATTATAGTTGTGATGATTACACAACTTTGTGACTATACTAAAAAGCAATGAATTGTACAATTTAAAAGAATAAATTTTATGGCATGTAAATTATTATCTCAAAGCTGTTAAAAAAACAAAACCCAAAAAAAGGTAGGTTGCCCTCAAAATTGGAGAGTTGTAGTATGTCTACATTCATGTGCTGCTCTTTTTCCTTTCTCATGCCCAGGTCACACAGCCCGGGTCCTAAGTTTGGCCATGAGTCCAGATGGGGCCACGGTGGCATCAGCAGCAGCAGATGAGACACTACGCATGTGGCGCTGCTTTGAGTTGGACCCTGCACGGCGGCGGGAGCGGGAAAAGGCTAGTGCACCCAAAAGCAGCCTTATCCATCAAGGCATCCGTTGAGGACCAACTCATCACTTCAGTTTTTATGTTTGCTTTTTTTATTTTTCTAATAAAGTCATGTCTCTCTTCTCCTTGCATGACCTCTGTCTCTGGCTTTCTCAAGGGGCTCCTCTCCTGTGTTTGAGAGCTAGAAATGTCCATCCTGTGGGAGCCTTGACAGGGATAGCAGGCTTTGTACCCCACCTCCTCCACTTACATATACGTACACACACAGCCTCAGTAGTTTCCTCTGTCACTTTTAATGAAGACATGAGTGAGCAGCCTCCATAGGCTGTATTCCCAGGCCTCCCACCCACTCGGACGTATGGGTGGGAAGGAGGGAGCCTGGGTCCGTAGTGACAGATTATTGCTGACCTCTTCAGTGTGAGGAAAAAGGCCACAAGACCCTGGTGGGGGCCAGTCCTGAGTGCTTCTCTCCCAAGTTTAAGGCAGGGAGGGGGAAGTAAGCGTCCAGCCCTTTCAGCCCCCAGCTCGAGTGGCAGAGGGCAACGAGGCCACGTCCCTGGGGCTGGCTGGGACAAGTGGGTGAGGAACGGAAGCTGTGGTCCCTGTGTACCAGCTGTGGGGAGGGGAAGGCTTGTCCCCTGCTCAGTCCTGACCACATAATCCCTGGTCACAGGTGTAGTTGGGGAGGACAATGATGGATGCTGCCCAAGGTGCAGTCCTGAGGCACTTAGGTGGGCGCCTAGCAAGAGCATGGTTCTCAGTTGGCCTTGACTTTGGCAGTACCTGGAGCTCCATTTTGCTGAACTACACGGGGCAGCCGTTTGCCTTTGGTGTAAGAATGATACCAGAAATTGGAGAAGAGCACGAAGAAGATGGTGCCGTACATCCAGATGAGGTGGATGATGACTGGGTACTGGTAGTTACAGCTGGGCATGAAGTAGTACTGGGAGATGTGCAGCGAGACCAGGACAAACTGGATCTAGGATAGAGAAAGGCAAGGGTCAGAGGGAATACTGAGAGGGCTGGAGGGAAAGGGGGTAGAGAAAGACTGAACACTGAGTGGGGGGATAGTGTCAAAGGTGAGAGAGGTTGGATAAAGGAAGGATCCAGACTAGTAGTATTGGGATGGTATAGACCAGGTCCAGGCCCCTCACCAGCTGGATGGCTGTCATGTGCTTTTTCCACCAAAGGTAGGGCTGAGCCACAGGGCCAAGGGCAGATAGTCCATAGTACAGGTACATGATGACATGCACAGAGGAGTTTATCATGGCATGGAAAGAGCCCATTCCTCCTGTGGATGGACAATGAACAGGGTCAGGAGAGTCGAGCCTCTAATCCCCAGTGCCTGCCCCTTTTTCCCCCAACGGCGTTCACCACTCACCTGGGGCAATTCTCACTCCCCACCACCAGCTCCAGGGAAGCACTGAGTGATGGAAGACATGTAAGAAGGTCACCTGTCCATCTTTTTTCCGGAGAATAAAGATCACCTGAGCAGAGTAGGGAAAGGAGTTTCAGAGTCAGGGCCTCTCACTCCTTTCTCCCCCACCTCAAGTTCTCATTTCATATACTCTCACCGTGTCCATGAGTTCAATGAACTTGGAGAAGAGGAAGAGCCAGGCCACTCGAACCATCTGCAAGAAGTCAGGGCAGCCTTAGGAGCCCGCCCCTCACTACTAACTAGAGCCTCCCTAAACTGGCCCATGAACACAGGTCACACCCAAATTGCTCCTATCCCCAGGTTGTTTACCATGTAGGCACCCCCCCCCCACCCCCCAACTCCCTCCTATTTACCCTCAGTGCCTCCGGGTTGTTGGAAAAGTCCACAGGGTCACAGCGCCAGGTGTAGCTACTCAGCCAGCCAGACATCAGGAACTAGAAATGGGATGTGGATTAGACCACCAGAATGCCCTCCCTCCCCCCATTCCCTCCCGTTTTCTAGTTGAAGAGATGGCTCTGAGCCTTTCTGGAAAGGAGATGCATGCTCTGGCTCTAAGGCCTGCCCCTTACCCTGCCAGCAGAAATTAAAGCCTAGGCATCCCAGGGTCCCACCTCATAGACAATGTAGAGGGAGAGTGCCACCAGTGAGAAGTTGTAGACAACCATGAAACCACGCAGTTGGAAGGGCTTCCGATTGGCCATGATTCGAGGCCCAAGTGAGAGAACGAAGTACACATAAGTCAGGAGAATGGAGGTCATTAGCAAGGGGGACCCCATCAAAGGGTAGCCCTGTATCCGGGGATCTGCAAATAAGGATCAAAGGAGTCAGGAAGTGCACAGGGTTCAAAGGGTCCCAATCAGGTGTACAGATATGAGGTCAGGTCACAAAGGGTCAAAGGGGTTGGGAGGGCTTTCCATTAGGTGACAGCCCTAGACCCAGAGATCTCAGGACAGGAGGGAGGTAGGGCAGGTGGACAGCATCTTACCCCCATACTTCATCATGCTCTGGTACACGTTCACAAGAGCTTCCATCCTAGTTAACGACTCTGGGGAGGTATGGAAGGCGGGTGTCAGCCAGAGCTGTGTTCTCCCATCTTACCCCTGACCCACAGACAGGACAGAGACCAGACAACTCCCGATACTCATTGCAAAAGGATATAACAGAGAGAGGAAGGAATTGCTGGGGACTAGGGGTAGGAGGAGACAGTCTGGCGGGGGCATCTGCTTCCCACACATCCTGCCTGCCTGGGAAGGGCTGTTCCACCCTTCCTCTCCACACCTTCCTCTCTTCTCTTCACTCTCTGCTCTTCTCTGGTGGTTTTTATTTCATGACCTCCCCTCCCCTCTTCCTCCACAAGAAAACTCTCAATTTTGATCTCTTTCTAGAAAGTCTTACCTCTCACTTACAGAAAATTCATCTCCCGAATGAACTGCCTCTCCCTTCCTCACCAAAGTCTCTGGCCTCTCCAGCTCTGGGTCGTTCTTCTCTCCAGGGATCCTCCCCTTCAACCTCTCCTGGCCCATTTCGGGATGCCCTTCTCCTGGGATTGTCCTTTCCAGGACTCTCCTCTCCCGAGGGTCCCTCCTTTGCCCTGCCGGGACTCTCACTTCCCAGCCCTTCCTGCCCATTCTGTCCCTTCTTGGTTGGTCCCTCCTGTCCCTTCCGGGACTCTCACCTCCCAATCCCGCCTGCCCCTTCCTCCTCTCCCCTGCTGAGACATTCCCAGGCTCTTCTGGGCCCTCCAGAGCTCTCACCTCCAGCCTCTCGGCTCCTCTCCGGTGCTCTCCTCTTGCCCTTCCTCTCTGGGAGCCTGGCTCTTTGAGACTCCTGCCCTGGCAGCTCCACCTGTCTGACTAGATCTGGCGGCAGCCCCGCCCTCCACCCACCCCCGCTGCACTGCACATGGGGTGGAGGGTGGGTCCAGGCCACAGGTCAGTGCCTGGAGGAGCAGGACCCACGAGGATTGAGAAAGCCAAGTAAAGCTGGGACTCACCGTCTACCCACCCTCTCTAGATCAGCCAGATGGTCTAAGGTTTTAGGTTTTGAATCACAAACCTGCTGAGGCTCCAGTCCCAGCCCAAACCTTGGAGCAAAGAGAACTGCAGAAAACCCACACCCGGCATCTGCTAAACTAGCCATAAATTCTCAGTTTGTCCTACTTTAAATGGGTACTATCACCCTTCTCTCCCAGGGAGGGGCAGGGAAGCCAGTGGCATGTGAGGAGGTGGGGACGTGGGGGAGGTCTCAGGAATCTTCCCCTCCCTCAGGGAGGAGTCTAATGATCTAGGCCCTCTCCCCCTCAGGACCTCAAGGAATGACGGAGGAGGGCTCACTAGGACACAAAAGCCAGACCCAGGGGAGCCTGGGGCTCTGAAGAAGTCCCAGAGGGATAATGCAGTCCCTGAACAGCCCGGGAGAGCAACCTGCACAGGTACTGAGTGAAGAACGCACCTGACACATCCACCGAGGCTGCACATGCACCCCTCACACACATACTGGGCACACATCCCACAGATGCTCCCCCAACCTCCATGTCAACCCCAACTGCCCCACCATCGTCAGGCCCAAGTCCTTCCATACACACATGGTCTCACACACACCTGCCTCTCACACAGCTCTCCCCTCACCCACCCAATGACCATATCACCAAGGGCTAGCACACATATGCACACATGGAGCCTACACAACTCCTGCCCTCCTCTGACACACCACCCAAACAAGCCTCCGTGGACGCTGACATGCATAGTTTCTAATACTCAGACCTGCTCCACAAATACATTCACTCTAGTGAACACACCCTAAACACTCACACATCCTCCTAGGCCCTGCATTACCATGTGCAAATGCTTAGGCTCACACATACATGAGTCACAGATAAATGTGGTCACATACATAAGCTCATACAGCCCACTTAGCAGAGAATGCATATAAAATCACCCATACCACATGCTGACACACACCTGTCCTAGGTCAAGCATACAGATCTCTTTTCCACAGATGACAATCATTCATTCATTCATTCATTCATTCACAATCATATTTTTGCTGTTTGCCTATTCTGTGGGAGGGCCTACCAGGAGAGGGTAACATGTGCTCTAACACACAGTTCCTTCCTGACCCACGAGTTTGCCAGCTTGTTATCTCTCTCAACCACCACACTCGCATGCACCCTGGAGGTCAGGAGTGGCTCAAGGTTCTGGAAAGGACCTCTCTCCAAGCTAGAGAGGAATCTGGGTGTGTCCCCGCAGGGGAACTCGGTCCTTCCTTTTAAGATGGATGGAAGGGAAAAGGAAACAGGCAGAGGAAGGGGGAGGGGAAAAGAGGAGGGAAGAGAAGGGAGGAGGGAGGGAGGGGACAAGAGGGAAGAGGGATAAGACCTAGAGGTGGTGGAGGAAGGCCTAGGTTTGAGTAAGTGGGGTCCACGCACGGGAGGGCGGTTGCTGGAGAGGCCCAGCCCCAGAGAACTGGGACCTCCCACTCACTCTCCCCAGGAACAGCCTCGCCCACAGCGGCAGGGCAGGGCCGGGCTGGGCCGGGCGAGCCAGGCAGGGGGCCCCGGGCACGTGGAGCGCCCGCCCAGGAAAGGTCCAGACTCACCAGTGGGGGGCCAGGCAGGCAGCAGTGGAGGGCTCGGAGGGAGCAGGGCCAGAGAGAAGTCCCCAGGGCCAGCCTGCCTGCCACTTCCTCATCTGCTGGGCCGACTTTCTGTCACCAGAGGGGGAGGGGGCGGGCCGGGTGGGGGGCGCTTGCTGATTGGGTCTTCGGCTGAGGCAGGAGGGGCTGTCCAGCCTCAACTGGGCTCGGCCCGCAGGGCGGGAGCAGGGGCGGGCCGCCCGATCCCGGGCAGGAAGCACGCCCAGCCCCGACTCCCCACCCCTTCCCTCGGCATCACTCAGCCCGCCGCTGTCAGCTCGCGCGGCCTGGCTAGGGCCGCCAGAGTCGTACCCTGCTTCTTCCTGACATTCAGCCCATGAATGGCCTTATTCTGGGCCTTCTGGTGATTAATTCGCCAACACGACCAACACATCTGCGTGGGCAGGCGGGCCCACCCAGCTTAGGACCCTGGGAAAAGTTCCAGGGCTCAGCCCTTCCTCAAAGAGCCCCCCTCTACAAAGGGGGAGACCTGAGCGGCCGTGAGCCACAGCAGCAGGGAGGTCTCTGTAGGAGGGAGCAACTGGGCATGCAAGCCTTCCCTCCGAGCCCATACGTCTGGATGAGCCCTGGGATTAGGAGTCGCTGGGATGTCGTGGCATGGAGGTGGGAAAATACAAGTGGCCGGGGTACGGCCCCTCTGCCCTGTACAGGCCCGGTGGCAGGTGGTGTGGTCTGAAATGCATCGAGTGAAATGAAACCCTTGTTACATGCTATGCACATGTGTGTTTTGTGTCTCACTGTGTTTGATATTATATGATATTTATTTAAGAAAGCACTAAACTGTAATAAAGCATTTAATTTGCTTTTTATTTAAACACACACACACACACATACACACACACAAGTGGCCTGGGGCAGGAACAGGGAGTGAGTCACTGGCTGGCTACACTGGCCTTCCAGGCAGTGAAAGGGAAAGAAGGAAAGTGAAGCTGTCTGTGGCGGTGGCTGAATGTAGTAGATCTTGAAGGTCGAACCGGGCACTTTGACTTTATTCTGGAAGTGGTGGAGAAACAGTGAAGATTTTTGAGGAGGCTATAATCAAATAATTCATCAAATATTTATAGACAACCTGCCATCTGCAAGGTGCTGGTGACACATCTGAGAATAAGGCAGAGCTGTCCCTGCAGGGGTTTACCATCCAGTTGAATCACTTCACTCGCAGCCAGTATGAAGAGGGCATTGGAGAGACCAGTGAGAGATACAGCCTGACCTAAGAAGATCTGGAAATTGATGGGAATGGAGAGGCAGACGCTGTGAGATTTCCCCGAGTCAACTGTCTATCCAGCTTTCCCTCTTCCACACTCAACTGGACTGAATTCTTGGGGGTGACTAGGTTTTAGTGAAATGAAATCTTTATCTTCAGTAGCTCCTGGAATAGTGCTTTGCATATAATGATCTAATAACTGCTTATAGGATTGGATGGTGCAAATGCAGATAGAATAAGGAATTCAGCAGAGACAGTGGTTTGGAAGAAATAATATGTTCCTAAATGGTTGGATGTAGCTATACAGTGGGGCCTTGACTTACGAGTTTAATTCATTAAGGAGCTCGTTAAGGAGCTCGTTAACTCAACTCAATGCAAAAAATCAGCCGAGAGATAGCTGGTATCTCTAAAAACTCGTTAGTCGGGACACTCATAAGTCAAGGCCCCACTCAAGGCCCCACTGTATAGAAGTTCAGTCTTAGAGGGAAGAGGTCAGAACCAAAGTATACCTATGACCCAGCCCATTAGTACCTGCCCTTAACAGGAAATGGCAGAAGAATTCAACTATTCAAAAGGCTCAAACTTCAAATTGTACACTAAGGCATACCTGATCTGGCTCTCAGTCTCCGGTTCCACCTGTGCCATTCTCCTGGGCCACATCCTATGCTTTAACCATTCCCCAAAGATGTCAGCATCTTTCATACTCCCCACTTCTCCAAGCCTTGTTCCCTGGCTCAACACAAGATACAAGGAGCTCTTCTAGGCAATAAATCGTTCCCTCTCCCCTTTCTCATAACCTTACTACAATGTAATTGTTTGTATCACCCTTCCCTCCACCCCAAGTTCTTCTCAGCAGGAGCTATGTTTTAGTTGTCTCTATCTCCAGCATCCAGTCCAGCACCTGGCTCATTTGACCCTCTATGTTTGCTGAGTGAATATTAGAGTGAATGAAACAATGTGAGAAAGGGAAGGAGGTCGAGGGACCCAAGAGTCAAGGAGGGGAGGATAGTAAAGAATTCGAAAGCCTTTCTACTTCCTTGGAGTAGCAGTATTCATTGAGTCAATAAATATTTATTGAAAGCCTAATGTGTTCCAGGCATACTTCAGTGGCTTCAGGATCAGAACTGTCTCCAAAGGCTTGAGTTAAAATCTTCCAGTTAGTACCTGTGTGATTTTCTGTAAGCTGCTGACCTTCTAGAAAATGGGGACAACAACAGTACCTATCTCATTGGATTGTTGTGAAAATTAAAGAGCCCGGCCAGTGTTGCTCAGTGGTTGAGCATCGACCTATGAACCAGGAGATTACGGTTGATTCCCAGTCAGAGCATATGCCTGGGTTGCAGGCTCAATCCATAGCTGGGGGCATGCAGGAGGCAGCCGATCAATGATTATCTCTAATCATTGATGTTTCTCTCTCTCTCCTTCTCCCTCTCTGGAATAAAAATATATATATATATATTTTAAAAAAACAAGATTAAAGGAGATAACCCACGTCAAGTGCTTAGCATTGTTTCTATCTCAACATTTAGTAGACAAGGTGGGGGGTAACCAGTATATCAAGAAGGTATGCATGTGTATGTAGATTCATGAGCATTCATTTAACAAATATTTCCTAAATGCTTACTGTACAAAGCACTTTTCTGAGAGTGCTATTGAGAGGTTTTGGATTCAGTGTCCATCTAGAGATGAACTAGAGAAGAACAAAGCAGACCATTATTGACAACGAAACTATCCCAGAGGCCAATCATAGTAATAGGGAACTTCAACTATCCATGTATTCACCTGGACCACATTGGCAAAAAGACCATGGCAAGCCCTCAGTAAATGCTGATTTATTACATGAATGAACATGCTGAAAGACTCACTTCATTTGATTTTTGTCCTCGTCCTGGGAGAAAGTATCTTCAAATATCTGATATGGACCACTTAACCCCAAGTCCTACCAAATGGCATCCCCATGGCTGTGGGATTCCTGTAAAATACTCACAGTCTAGTGGGGAAGAAAGACACATAAATGAATAATTTGAGTAGCAAGTGTTACGTATTCCCACAGAGATAAAACCAGAGATTATGAAAGCATAGGGGTAGGGGTGGGGGACACTGTACTCCAAGGTGGGAGTTAGTTCTTGAAGGTTTCACAGAAATGACACCTTTGCTGAGCATTAAAGGACACTTTATAGAAGGCAGGGAAAGACATTACAGGCAGAGGGAAGCATGTGTTTAAAGGCATAGAAGCTAGACATGTGGCAGGTTTGGGGAGCTCTAGGTAGTTTGGTGTGGCTCTAGCTCAGGGGGCATATGGGTAAGGGCAGGAAATCTAGGCTGGAGTCAGTTTATGAAGAGCCCTGTATTCCATGGTTTGAATTTTATTGTTTATCTTTTTCTGTCCTGGCTGCACACTAGAATCACCTGGGGAGCTTTTAAAATATCAATGCCTGGCTCTCACCGCCATATTGATTCTGATGATTTTTTAATGGGAAGAGG